GAATTAAATTTTGAAGAACTCTTTCTTGATGAACTTAGATTCTTGGAGAATGATCAACAACCAAATTTTCAGAACTTCACAGAAGAATTGGTTGTTAGAAAATAAAACTTTACAGTACAAGAGTCTAAGTTCATTAAGAAATGTAAAATGCATGACACCAATAATACCTACCTTACTTTGTTGCAAGAATTACTAAACACCCCAAAATGCTTGGAAATTCACATTATTGATTATATCATTCTGAATTTATTTAAAATCCAGGGAAGAATTTTCAACAGTAAGGTAGGATTCAATGTAGAACAGGAACTCTTCATGTTGAATATTTCATTCTACATTGATTATTTTGTTTATTTCAGAATAATAATAAAAATTTATTCTTCTCTCATGTGAGAGTTTCTTATTCAGTTTTCAAAAAAAAAAACAAAGAAAAAAAAGAAAAAAAGAAGAAAAAAAAAGAAGAATAAAATTATGTTTCCATCCTCCTCAGACCAAAGGTAATTACAGATTTTTATCAGCGGACCAAATATAAGTGCTTCACTTCTTATCTCCTTTACTTTATGCATCATAGAGTTTGCATTGAGGACAATGCAAAATTTACGTGTGGGGTGGGAATTAGTTATTTTTTCTCTTTATTTTACATTTTAGTGTATTTTGTCATTTTTTCATTTTCCTTAAAAAAAGTATAAAAATATCGTCACTTGCCAAATTGATAGAGTTATGTAATAATTGATTTATTTGATAAATTTGAAATTTTCTAATCCCTAGTTAGTTATTTACTTAAGTTCACCTTTTATGATAACTCTAAATAAATTTCTTAAGAAATAATTTTCAAAGTAGTATACTTTACTTAAGCCTTAACTTGGATTTTTATTTAAAATAATAAAATTTTTAATAATTTTCAAAGTAGTATACTTTACTTAAGCCTTAACTTGGATTTTTATTTAAAATAATAAAATTTTTACATGCTTAACTTAGAGTTGAAAAAAAAATTTCAAAGTGTCTTGATTTACATATTTTCAAAACATATATACATATACAAAAAAAAAAATTGCAAAAGAAGAGTGTGAAAAATGGGCACCAAAAAGAAAAAAAATAATACTCTTGAATTCTAGGTGATTCTATCTTATAAAGCCTAAGCTGACCGAGTAATTAAACCCAAGGAGTATTTCCATACTTAATGACCTAAGCCCAATTGGGTTGGGATCCATTGGCCCAAAACTCGTTAAATGGTCGCTTAGAAAGCCTGTTAAAGTAGAAAAAAATCACCAAGGAAGAAAGAGTTAAAAATAATATAAAAAATAATAAAAAATAAAAATACTAATAAATATTTTATATATGTTCTTGGAAAATATTTTAGATCAAGCAACTTGAAAATTATTTAAAACAAAGAGTTAGCATGTTCTTTTCAAAACTTTTAAATTAAATTTCTAAGTTTGGCTTGGTTTTGTATTGCTACAATGAGAAGATTTTCTTGAAAATATACCTTAGAGTTATATATAAAAATGTTTTCTTGAGTGATAACTGGCTCCAATTAGATTATCTAAAAATTATCAAGTGAATTTAGTTATTTACTAACTTCTTTAATTTGGCAAGTTGACCGAATTTTGTGGGTATATTCACTGCAAACCCTCACGAGATTATAACTCGTCCACTAGGCTAACCTAGGGGTTTAAAGGCTTGTTGTATGCGCTAAATACAATCGCGATTCCTGCGAAAGTGAGTTAGGATTTTCTTTCTTTGCTAGAGGACTAGCAAAAGTTTAGGTGTGGGGGTATTTGATAATCATATTTTATTATAATTTTATACCCTCATTATCTATTTTATATGAATAAATATACCACTAATAATTGTTTTTATCTTTTAATTACAAGTTAATGAAGAATAAATCTCAAACTCTCATCTCTCAACAAAAACCCATCGATTAAATGAAAGAAATGAATAAATATAAATATACCAAAATGTGGGAATTCAAGGGAGAAATGAATGGGCCAGGAGACTTGGATTTTCTTTTGATTTTCAAAACCAAATTGGGCCGGAGATTGCTTGACATAGGCTGCATTTAATCAAGGACCGGACTTAGCTTGTATTTTCACAAGAAAATCACTGTTTTTAAAATCAAATAGAAACCGTACCTGGGGGCTTGATTGCTGCAAACAACAATGGGCCGGACTTGTTCAAATCTCCATGTGGGCTGCAAATTTAATTTTGAAAATCAATGCCAATGGGCCGGCTGCTTTGAATATTCTTCATTGAACTTGTGCTGCAGCTTTCATGGACCGGACTTTGGATGCAAGGAGTTGAAAATCAAATGGGCCGGAATTGATTAGATTTGGACTTTCATTTTTGTTTTGAAAATCAAGCACCGGACTTGGCTTGTAACTTTGATTGCTGCAGAACTCTCATGAGCCGGACTTGGCTCATATTTTCTTCGGTTGCTTTAATGGGCCATCAATCATTCTTGAATTCTTCATGGACCAGCTGCTCTTGATTTAATTTTGAAAACCATTTGAATTGGACCGGACTTGATTGGATTTTGATTTTCTTTTGAAAATCAAATAAATCAATTGGGCCTCATATGTTTGGGCTAGAGAAGAACAAAAAGCAAATTCAAAGGTGGAGATTGTTGCTTGGGGCTCAAGACAAATCCAATGGCTCATATTCATTGAAGATTACTATAAATAGGGGTAGAGAGTGAGGGGTTAAGGTGTGAAAATTTTTGTAACTCCTTTTGGAGAGGAGGGCTACTCTTAATTGAGAAGGCCTTCCAAAATTATAACTTTTTATTGCAATTAATAATAATAATTTTTTCACCACTTTAAATTTTTCTCTTCTTCTCTTTGTTGGATGATGAAGATGAAGATGAAGATGGAGAATTATTTGAAGGTTTGCATTTCTTTTCTTTTTCTCTTTTATTGCTTATTAGTTTAGATTTATTTCTATGCTTGTAGTTAGATTTTATTTTCTTGTTAAATAGCCAAGAGGCTAGAACCCTCTTGCCTTAGATTTATTTCATGCTTATAGAGTAGATTTATTTTCTTGCATTTAATTCTTATAATTTTATTTTGTAGTTTAGATTTTGTAATTTATTTTATAGTTAGATTTTAATTTCTTATACTATTCACCTTGAGGCTAGAACCCTCTTGGGTTTAGTTTTTCTTTTTGTTTATTTTTATTTTGTTTGATTCGCCTTTAGGCTAGAACCCTCTAGGGAATCACCCTTTTCTAAGAAGTGGGTTCAATTTTAGATTATCCATATCTATAATTGAATCCACCATCTTTAATTTCTTGCATTTTCTTTTATTCTAGAATTTTGTTCTTCATTCTTGAATTTTTTCATTTGTTTCTTGATTTTATTCATTTTTTCCTTCTCACCTTATTGATCATACCCATTCTTTTTCAAATCCACTCTCACTTACACTTGCACATATTTACACATCATTTTTACTATCTCAATCTCTTCACAATCATATTCACTCATCAATCTTATTTGTCACGCACACAACATAAGAACCGATTTTATATTTTCTCCTACAAAACACCTTCCTCGTGGGATCGATATCGAATTTTGTGGGTATATTCACTGCAAACCCTCACGAGACTGCAACTCGTCCACTAGGGTAACCTAGGGGTTTAAAGGCTTGTTGTATGCGCTAAATACAACCGCGATTCCTACAAAAGTGAGTTAGGTTTTTTTTAGTTTTCTTTCTTTGCTAGAGGACTAGCAAAAGTTTAGGTGTGGGGGTATTTGATAATCATATTTTATTATAATTTTACACCCTCATTATCTATTTTATATGAATAAATATGCCACTAATAAATGCTTTTATCTTTAAATGCAGGTTAATAAAGAATAAATCTCAAACTCCCATCTCTCAACAAAAACCCCTTGATTTATTGAAGAAATGAAGCCCATGAAGCCAAACAATTTCTTTCAAATATTTAATGAAGTATAAAAGCCCAAAATTGCCAAGAAATTGTCCAAGGCCCAAGCCAAATTCATGGTTTTTGGATAAGATTTCGATCCAATGGCTCTCATTCATTGATGTTTACTAATAGGGGTATAGAGTGAGGGGTTAGAGGTAAAAAATTTTGTAACTTCATTTGGAGAGGAGAGCCACTCTTAATTGAGAAGGCCTTCAAAATTTGTAACTTTTTTTATAATTAATAAAATAATTTTTTTACCACTTTAAATTTTTCTCTTCTTCTTTTTGTTGGATGATGAAGATGAAGATAAAGATGGAGATTAATTTCAAGGTTTGTTTTTCTTATTTCTCTTTTATTGCTTATTAGTTTAGATGTAATTTCATGCTTATAGAGTAGATTTATTTTCTTGCAATTTATTTTGTAGTTTAGATTTTGTAATTTATTTTGTAGTTAGATTTTAATTTCTTGTACTATTCACCTTGAGGCTAGAACCCTCTTTGGTTTAGTTTTTCTTTTTGTCTATTATTATTTTCTTTGATTCGCCTTTAGGCTAGAACCCTCTAGGGAATCACATTTTTCTAAGAAGTGGATTCAATTCTAGATTACCCATATCTTTAATTGAATCCGCTATCTTTAAATTCTTGATTTTTATTTGTTCTTGATTTTTCCTTCTTGCCTTGTTGATCACATTTATATTATCACTTTCCTCTCTCAAATATATTCATTTACACAATCATTTTCATTCTTTCCATCTCTCCACAATCACATTCACTCATCACTCCTATTTGTCACGCACACAACATAAGAACCGATTTTATATTTTCTTCTACAAAACACCTTCCTCGTGGATCGATATCTTTATACTATAACTTGACACGGTTGTGCACTTGCAACATTTTTGGTACATGTTTATGCCGCATCATCATACCAGTAGCAAGTGCTATTCGTAGAGACGGAATTTGGATTTTCAATGGTAATACTGCTTCACATCCATATACTAAGGAATATGGTGTTGCTCCTGTTGGCATACGAACCGTTGTGCGATAAGCCCACAAACTTTGATCTAACTTCTCGTTCTAGTCTCTTTTATTCGTCGAAACCACCTTAGTGAGAATTATAACGATGGCCTTATTGAATGCTTCCGCATGCCCGTTAGTAGCAGGATTATAAGTTGTTGAAACCAAATTCTTGATCCTGAATTTTTCACAGAATCTGGTGAAGGCTTGGCTAACGAATTGGGGCCCATTGTCATGAATGATACGCCTCGGAACGCCGTATCTGTATACGATGTGGTGTTTTAAGAATTTAATGACATCACTCGTCTTGACTTCTCTTAACGGAATTGCTTCTGTCCATTTAGAAAAGTAATCAGTTTTGCTTAAATAAAGTGATGTCCCTTGGAAGAGGGTGGGGTTACTGGGCCAACAATGTCCATCCCCACGTTTCAAAAGACCATGAAGTGGTTGACGGATGAAGATGCTCGGGCGGTCGATGCATGTAATTATCGTGTATCTGGCAGGCATGACATCATTAGGCATATGTGACAGCGTCTTGTACCATATTAGGCCAGTAATAACCCAATCTGCATAGCCGGTCCCACAATTTAGGGTCAGGCTGATGTGCTCCACATATACCATCATGAGCTTCTTTAAGAACTTATTTTGCTTCTCTATTTGACAAACAGCGAAGCAAAAGCCCATCGTACAATTTTCGATACAAAGTCTGGGATTGAGAATCATAGTAGAATCTAGGTGCTCGTCTACGAATAGATTCTTTTTCCTTGATATCTTCAGGCAATAAGCCGTATAAAATATAATCAATGATCGAAAATCGCTAATCTTTGGGTTCGAGCGTTGCGGGCTCATCTTCAATTGCGTTGATCTGTAATATATACTTTGATTTGAATAATTGTCTGCTTGACACTGTGACTTGTTGGGTAGTTCTTTTAGGTAGAGCTAAGGTAGCCGCAAGTGGTGCCAATGCATCTGCATAGGTATTCTTGAGACGGGGTATATAGTCGATGTAGAAGCCCTCAAAGGAATCGGCCAATGTGATTGCTGCGGTATGATAAGGAATGAGGTCCTCATTCCTAACTTCATATTCTCCTTTCATCTGGTTAACAATGAGTTGAGAATCACCATACGCTTCTAGGTGTTTCACCCCCAGCTGTTTAGCTATATCTATGCCAACCAACAAAGTATTGTATTCAGCCACATTATTAGAGCACGACTCTGTTAAAGAAACGGAGCATGGGAGTATATGATTTTGGGGGGAGATAAAGACAACCCCCACTCCAGCAATAACTCGACCGGTAGGACTTGTCCTTGCTGCACCATCGAAGTATAGTTGCCATACCTGCTCTCTAGAGACGATGTTTACTTCATACGTCTCATCTGGTATGTACTGGTACAATTCAGCTTTTTCTTTCAATGGATGATTAGCCATAAGGTCACAAATAGCCTGACCCTTAACTGCCTTTTAAGGTTTGAAGTGAATGTCATATTGCGAAAGCAACAAAGCCCATCTGGCGAGTCGTCAGTTCAATGCACTGGGCTGTGTTATGAATACCCGAATAGGATTGATCTGGGAAATGACATGTATGGTTTGCCCAACCAAATAATATCGCATCATCTGAACTGTGAAGACCAGCGCCAAACATTCCTTCTCAATAAGAGGATAACGAGGTTCAGCACCCGATAAAGTCCAACTAAGATAGTAAACAGCTTGCTCATGACCATTTTCATCATCTTGTGCTAAGAGTGCTGCTAATACATGATCTGTTGCCCGGATGTATATCAAGAAAGGTTTGTCTGACTTCGGTGCAATCAATATCGATGGATTGGAGAGATATTGTTTAATCTCCTCGAACGCTTTCTGGCAAGCATCATCCCACATAAAGGATACTCCTTTCTTCATTAGTTTTGAGAATGATTGGCATTTCCTTGATAGGTTAGAAATGAACCTGCGAATATACGCCAATCGCCCTTGTAAGCCTCGAAGCTCCTTAAGATTCCTAGGAGGTGGTAGCTCTTGGATGGCTTTGACTTTGTCTGTGTAGAACCCCATAATTTTTATATGAATATATGTGAATTATTAGTAAATAAATAATTCTTTTATGATAAATAGCTTGAGGTTATTGAAGTACATGATAGCAAGTTATTTGAGATGATATGAGAATTTGAGTGTAGAGTTTTGTGCGTTGGTTTTGCAAATTAGACAAACATGCATAAAAAAAACTAAATTTTTCCAGATCAGTCGACACATCAGTTGACTGACTGTATCGGTCGACACATCAGTCGACTGATACGCTGATTTCCAGTATTTCAGGTTTCGGGTCTGTTTTGTTTTGGTTCGGGTTTGGGTCGGGTTTAGCTGTTCATATATATTCTTTTTCACCCGAATTCATCCCTCTCATCTTCAGATCTGAGAAAACTCTAGCTCCCTCTCCTCTATCTCAAACTCTAGTCTTGTTCTTGGTGATTTGGGGAAGAACTTGGAGGATTTTCGTCGAAATCTTCACGTTGCAGCGAAGGGGAACCACTCTCTCTCAGATCCAGGAGTTGTTCATCACCCAGAGGCGAGTAACATCTCGCCCAACTCTGTCCCTTTTTTTTTACACGAAATTATTGAGTTTAATGAGTTTTGATTTAGCCAAAAACGTATTTTAAGTACAAAGAATGAATCTTTATGGTATATGAGGTGAGGTATTGAGCATCTCAGTTTATAAAAAGACCAACAATGTTTTATTAAAGGGATCTAGATCTGAAAATGTTTGACAAGAGTTATTTCATGATTTATTGATTTCAAAACGTATCAAACATGTTTTTATGTGTTTAAGGTTTTTGATAAATGTTTACATGTGGATCTTTCATTCCAGTTTGGTACATATATGTTGATATCAATATTTTTCATGCTTGGGATTGATGGGGATGAGTTTAGATCAACTTTTTGGTGAATAACAACCTGTGCAGAATTTCTGCAGTTCATCGGTCGACTAATCAGTCAACCGACGGGCTGAAATTTCAGTCATCAGTCGACTGATCAGTCGACTGATGGGTTGATTGTTCTTTTCTCAGTTCCTCAGTCGACAAGTCAGTCGACTGGTGAGCTGAGGTTGTGCTGCCTGAGCCTTATCGGTCGACATATGAGTCGACTGACGTCATCAGTCGACACATCAGTCGACTGATGAGGTGTTTTACAGATTCTTAATCTGTTTGAGTTGCATCAGTCGACTGATGAGATGTTTTACAGATTCTTGATCTGTTTGAGTTGCTTTTCGGGGTCGCCTCAATAACCTGACCCTAGTTTACCATGTTAATGATTTATCTGTACATGTGGGTTGACTTTTGACACAAGTTTAGACATGTACACCGAGATGCGGGCGAGTTTAGATTATGTATATCTGTCTGCATATACTTTTCACAGTTACACAGTCCTCGTGTTAGACTATAATCCATAGAAGTCCTCGTGTTGGACTATAATCCATTTCAGTCCTCGTGTTGGACATTTGCCACTTATTTCATGTGTTTAGAAAACCACAGTATCTAGTTCCTATATCGGACATATTTCTTAACCCTGTATATGACTTTCTCACAGGAGTTTTATAACATGACACTTATGTAGATTATGACATGATATCATGATACTCATGTAGGCTATGACATGGCACTGTATTTATGCTCTGGGGTTTGTTGTATTTCTTTTATTATTGTTCCTGTACTAGAACTTCGGGTTTGGTGTTTAGGAATTTACACTTTGAGATACAAGGTATATACATGAGGGTTTCCTTGTTTGGATTTTTCACCCGATGTACTAGTTCCACTAGATTAGGGTTTGAGCGGGAATATTACCATTTTAGATCGGAGTATAAATAACTCTATATGTTTATCTGGAAGTTCATGGGGTGAGATGCGTATGGTTTCCGAATTTCGAGGACGAAATTCTTCTAAGGGGGGAAGAATGTAGAACCCCGTAATTTTTATATGAATAATATAGAATTATTAGTAATAAATAATTCTTTTATGATAAAATAGGCTTGAGGTACTTCGGAGCTACCCACCTGCATAGCAAAGTTATTTGAGATTATACCTGCACGCAGTTTGAGCTGTAGAGTTTTGTGGCGTCTCGCGCTTTTCGCAAATTAGAAGAAACACTGACACAAAAACTTACAAATTTTTCCGCCACGATGCAGTCCGGGACACACCTGGCGTCAGTCGACTGGGACTGTTATGGGTCGACACATCAGTCGACTGATTACGCTGATGGTTCTAGTTTTTCGAAGTTTCGGGTCGGTTTTGTTTTGGTTCGGGGTTTTGGGTCGGGTTTCGCTGTCATCCATATATTCCTTTTCACGAATTCAACGCCTCTCATCTTCAGATCTGAGAAAACCCTAGCCCCTCTCGCTCTATCTCAAACCCCCTACGCCCTTTCGTTCTTGCATGATTGGGGAAGAACTTCGGAGATTTTTTGTTGAAATCTTCACGTTGGAGGCGAAGGGAACCACTCCTCGTCTCAAGACTCCAGGAGTTGTTCATCGCACTGAGAAGGCGAGTAACATCCGCCCAACTCTGTCCGCTCGTTTTTTTTACCAGAACAAATATGTGAGTTTTCAAATTGAGTTTGATTTAGCTAGAAAAATGCTATTTTTAGTACACAAGAATGAATCTTTATGTATTATGAGCGTGAGGGTATTGAGGCAATGTCAGTTCTATAAAACAGACGCAACAACTGTTTATTAAAGGGATCTAGCATCTTGATCACGTTTGACAAGAGTTATTTTCATGATCATTATTGATCTTCACAACGTATCACATGTTTTTAATGTGTTTAAGGTTTTTGATAACATGTTTAGCATGTGGATCTTTCATTCAACGTTTGGTACCATATACTGTCTGATATCCAATATTTTTCATACTTGGGATTGTGGGGCATGAGTTTAGATCAACTCTTTTGGTGAATAACAAGTGTGCATGAATTTCTGCACGTTCTCGCTCGACTACTCATCGAGCCGGGGCCCGCTACACTTCTCAGCTCACCTGCAGTCGACTGACTCAGTCGACTGATGGGTTGATTGTTCTTTTCCTCGTTCCTCAGTCGACAAGTCAGCTCGACCTGGGGTCGCAGCTGAGGTTGGTGGTGCGTGGGCTTATGGTCGACCAATAGTGAGTCGACTGGTCATCAGTCCGATCACCCATGCATTCGACCTGATGAGATGTTCTTATAGCATTCTTCGATGCTGTTTGAGTTGGCTTTTCCGGGTGCCTCAATAACCTGACGCTAGTTTACGTCATCGTTACATCGATCTATCTGCTAACCATGTGGGTTGACTTTCTGACAGCAAGTTTAGACATGTACACCGAGATGCGGGCGAGTTAGAATTATGTATATCTGTGCTGGCATATACGTTTTCAGCAGTTTACACAGTCCTCGGTGTTAGACTATAATCCATAGAGTCCCGGTGTTGGACTATAAATCCATTTCCAGTCCTCGTGTTGGAGCATTTGGCCACTTAATATTCACGGTGCTCTTAGGAAAACCACCAGTATCTAAGTTCGCTTAATATCGGCACATATTATTTTAAGCCCCTGTATATGACTTTCTTCTCACAGGAGTTTTTATAGCATCGAACAGCTTATGTAGCATTATGAGCATGATATCATGAATGTCGATGTAGGCTATGGACATGCAGCTGTAATTTATGCTCTGGGGTCTTGTTGTATTTGCCTTTATTATTGCTTCGCTGTAGCTTCCCAAGAGCAAGCCTTCGGGTTGTGTTTAGGAATTTACACTTTGAGATACAAGTATATTAACATGACGGTTTCCTTGTTTGATTTTCACCCGCGATGTACTCAGATTCCACTAGGATTAGGTTTGAGGCCGGGATCCTTAACATTTTAGATTGGAGTATAAATTTACTCTATATGTTTATCTGGAAGTTCATGGGCGTGAGATGCGTATGGTTTCCGGAAATTTCGAGACGAACAATTCTTCTAGAGGGGGGGAAGAATCGTCGAACCCCCGTATTTTATACTGAACTCACCTATATGACATTACTCCAGCTAAACTACACACTCACTCTCTTTATGCATACATACGTCTCGAGGTCTCACTCTCGCATCACACACTGATAGCAAGGTTATTCTGAGATCTATATGAGCAAGTCTTGAGTGTAGAGTTTCCTGTGGCGTTGGTTTTGCAAAATTAGATAAAAACGGATGCACAAAAAACTAAATTTCCAGATCAGTCGACCCCACTCACTCGACTCGCCATCGCTACTCGGTCGACACACTCGTCGACTGATACGCTGATTTCCTAGTTTTTCACTAGTTTGCCGGGTCCTGTTTTGTTTTTGGTTCGGCCGGTTCGGCCGTCGGCGCTTTACGCCCTGTCTCATCCATATATTCTTTTTCACCCGCCCCCGAATCTCACCTCCTCATCTTTCAGATCCTTGAGAAAAATCCTAGCGCCCTGCTCCTCTATCTCAACCTATGCTTGTTCTTCGACCTGACTCTTGGGAAGAACTTCGCCAGGATTTCGTCTTGAAATCTTCACGTTGCAGCGCCGCAAGGGGAACACTCTCTCTCAGATCCCCCACGCGCACGCTTCGCTCTCATGCTCCCACCTCCCCACCAGCAGGACGCAGCTCATCCTCGCCACACTCTGTCTTTTTTTCTCTTCACACCACACACTCCTCATTGACGTTTCTCAACTCGAGTCTCTGCACTCTTAGCTAACTCGTATTTTTAGTCACACCAGACACTCGAATCTTTATCGGCTCATCACCCGCACGCTCGCGCGCTCACTGCAGCACATCCTCAGTTTATAAAAAGACAACACTGCTTTTATTAAAGCGCATCCTCACTGATCTGAAACACCGCCCTTTTGACAAGCAGCTTATCTTCATCGAATTTCATTGATCTCTCACAAACCGCTCACTCACCATCGTTTTTATCGTTCGTTTAGGTTTTTGATAAATGTTTACATTCCCATCTTCATTCCACGTCTTCGGTACACCTATATGTTGTATATCAAGCTCATCTCTCTTCATCGCTTGGGTTGACTCGCGG